GGAGCGATGCTTGAAAATCGTCCAAACAAATGTGCATTGACCGCTCTACAGTGAGGCTGAGTTTATAGCCTTAGACAAGGCCGGGAAGAGATGAATGGATCCGGAATTTCTTGAAAGATATTCCATTTTGGCCCAAACCTTTGGCACCTATATGTATACATTGTGATAGTCAAGCGGTAATAGGCAGGATAAGGAGCGTTATGTATAATGGAAAATCTCGTCACATTCGACGGAGATACAATACCGTTAGACAACTACTCTCTAGTGGTGTTATCACGATTGACTACGTAAAGTCAAGAGATAGCGTGTCGGATCCACTTACAAAAGGCCTATCTAGTGAGGCAGTTGAAATATCATTGAAGGGAATGGGGCTAAGGCCTAAGACAAGTCATCATGGCGGTAACTCTACCTAGCAGACTGGAGATTCCAAGAGCTAAGTTCAAAGAGATCAAACAAAGTTATGAATGACGGTTCAATATTGTCAAATAACTCAACCCATTCTCGTAATGAAGACAATGTTCAGAAATCAAGGTAAAGCATTAAGGCTTTTTGATGAATCAATAAAGCTTAAAGCTTTTTAATGATTTTCTAAGTCTGGCAGGATATGACCAGATAGTGTGTCTATAGGATTACACGTTTAGGAATCACCTGTGTGAGTGTGAAGTGTAAGCCGCTTTAAGGGGAATGAAAGTAAAGGCCCATTCTCTAAGCACTCATGAAACCAGGCGGTGTTCATGGCTGAAATGAACACAACCGTGAGAACCAAAGACGGTTAAGGGTTAATTGTGTGACTTATGGTTGTCTAGGTATACACCAAAGTTCGATGGTTCAAAGATATCAAATCTACCGATTGACCGAGTATATCCGACATAAGTTCACTAGGGAAAGTTCAAAGGGAAACCTACTTATCCAGATGCGATTAATCCTTATTTGTGAATCACACAGTATTTTCATGCATGTTTTTCCTCATATGACCATTCCCCATTCATGTGGGGGATTGTTGCGTTTTTATTAAGGGGTGTGAATGGGAAATGGAAGAGGCACCTTTTAGATTGCACCTCTCCATATCACCTTCCTTTGTCTATAAATTTAGAGGCTTGACCTCATTTTTGAGACATGAAATCAGACATAGAAAATCTGAAATCTCCTCCCTCTTTTCTACATTGTTGCATTATTTTCTAAATAAACATAAGTGTCAAGTGTGATTTGCTCCGTTTGTTGAGTTCGCTGAAGTTCTGTGATTTGAAGTGCCGCTATCACAGAATAGTTATTCCGTTCTATCCTGGGAGGAATTAATCCGTATACCTTGGGCAACAGTGAGGGGATTAAATTCCTTAAGGACACATTGTGCATTCAGTGGGCTCGGAATTATTTTACGTTTTGTTTATTGAACTAACGTTTGTTTACTTCTCTAATTTTCTGATTTTGAACACAGTATAATACCAACACATAACCATAGTTTCCATTTTTAAAAAACATCTACTACTTAAAAGATTGAACAGAAGCAAAAATAGCGCAACAAACCATATTGCAAATTTTGTTCTTGTTTTAAATTTGAACATTGTGGCTCAGTCTGAGACGATGAAACGTGCCACAACTCTTTATAAGTGTACTAAGTAATCGAGTGAAATCTTTACTATTTGTTATGTATGTTAATGGTGGATGTGTTTTCCCTTTTTCCAAAAACATTCGGTGTGATAGAAGTAAGATCAACAAAGTCTATAAACATAAAACAAAGAAATCAGCTAAATGTTAGAAATAGAAAAACATAGGAAAACTATTAAACTAATAAGGAATGTCATGATAACACATGTATTTAATAAATATAGTTATATATTTACAAAGCAAATTGCGTTCAAAGTAAAAGATTCTATATTTAAACCATTTCGAGTGGGACTATATAATTTTAGAATTTGATAGAAGAAAGAATATCAGCTATTAAGCTATTAAGCGCGAAAATAATTATCTATGCATTTGGCAGATTGTCAATTCCTTCCTAGAATATGTTATTACACTGTATTTGTAAAATAAATTCTGGAAATATAAATGAATATAAACAGTAATGAATATAAACAGAAATGACATAAACCAATTCGAGCCCACTGAATTCACAGTGTTTCCTTAAGGAATTTAATCCCCTCCTAGTACCCAAGGTTATGGATTATTTCCTCCCAGGATAGAACGAATTACACACTGGTGTAGTGGTACTTCAAACCCCAGTGTTTCAGCGAACACAAAGTTCGGTAGCAAATCACACTTACTTTTTGCTTTGTTTTGATGCTGAAAGTATGCAGAAGAAGGAGAGGAAACTCAGAAAATTGTAGTTAAAATTCTGAGCAGAATAGTGTTGTATTTATAGCCAAAGTTGGGTCTCTTCAGAATGGCTGTTTATGCAAAACGCCCACAACATAAATGCCATTACATAAATGGCCATTTACTCAATAATAAAGAGGGAAAATAAAGAGGGAAAATTAAAGAGGGTAGTTACTTTTCTGTTACCAAAACAGAAAAACGGATTGGATTTAATATTAATATTTAATATTAATATTTTGTTATTAAAACAAATATTTAATAACATTTCTGTTAATATTTTACTATTAACAAATAAATTTGGTCCAAAAAGTTAATATCCGAATCCGAAGCCGAAGCCGAAGCCGAAGCCGAAGCCGTAGCCGTAGCCGAAGCCGAAGCCGAAGCCGAGCCGAGCGAGCGACGACGACGACGGCGCGAGGCTTGCCTTCTTCTCAACTCTTTAAGAGCTAGAAGAAGAGAAATTGCTTATATACCCATAAAAACCCTCTTCCTCTTCCAATATGGGACAATGCCCATTTGCCAAGGGAGGGGGAACTTAAAATTTCACTCAAAAATTTCAGTTCCCTCCATTTCCCATTCACCCTCTTTTAAGTATTTAATATATTAATTAAATACCTTAAAAACCCAACAGAGTTTTATTAACTCTTAATGAAAATCTGTAGCTCGTATGAGTGGGGTGTTAGAGTTACAGGAGCACCCTTGACAGATTTTACCTATGTGAGTGTGGAAGTAGGCCGTTTCCTATGAGAATTAGGCTTGTTCTCAAGAACACTCATGAAAATCGAGATAGCACAAGGTCGTAATATGCTGGCCAATAAAGCTCATGTCAACACCTTGATTATTATGTGTAAGCAGTGATACTTTATTTCCCTAAAGCAGTCATAGTTCAAGTCTGAGACCACTACTGACTCTGGAGTAGAGATTGCTGTTTTACTAAGTGGAGATTCATTGCAGAGCACACCTTCATTATGCACAACAGTCTCCCTTCAACGTAAACTCTCTTATTTGAATATTAAAATGAGTGGGGGAATATTGGTGTTAGTGCATTTTAATATTAAAATTATAATATTAAAGTGCATTATTTCTTGTGAGATAGTGGTTATAAGTTGGCAAGAAAGTGGTCATTATTTTGGTGTAACTCTTGAAATCACTAATGCCATGATCTACCACTAATTACCCACTAAGTGTTAATTTTTATAACCACCAACCATGTTCTATAACTTTATTATGCCACTACTTTGTTATTTATTTCATGGAAGAAATTCTACACCTATAAATAGTGTTGTTTCCTCCTTGTGTTTGGTGTGGGAAAAATATGGTCGTGTGTATGAAAAAAGTGAACTTGGTGTAGTGAAAAAGAGAGTTATGAGAAGGAGAAAATCTAAGTTTCCAACTTATTCTCTACATAGAGAATATTATTTTTGTTGAAGGAAGGTGTTCATTTTGGTGGAGCTTTGGACTCAACAACTTGTCCAGAGTTTGTTCGAGTCATACGACGTTGTCGGGCTGTTGTATCCTGGAAGGGACAAGTCAAGAGTATTACTACTGGACCGGTGAAGATGCTACCGCAATGGGCTTGAATCTCCTTAAAGAGAGCAAGATATCCGCGCATCAGCCTGAAGAATATTTATTTATTTTTCTTCATCTTATTTTCAACTGTAATTACTTGTAATTTCAACATCTCTATAATTATCTTTTTAAGTATCTCTAACTACCAAATAAGTAACTAAATTTTGCTGAAGTTAGTGACAATTTGTTATTATAACAATTGACCAGCTTGAGATAATTAGTCCGAACTCAAAAGAACTTTTTTACTAACTTTTACAGTAGTTTGAATACAAGTATAGAGAGAGTGGATTTCTTGTTAGTATAGAGGTTTGAAGGGTATCAGAATCTCACTGTTTGGGTTTCTTTTTCCTAACTTAAAAGTACTTTACCTGCTTTAAGTTGATATATTTTCTTGAAAAATATTTTCCACTGACCAACCAAATAACGTAGAATAAAAAACCACTTATTTCAAGGAACCTATACTTAATAGCCACTTGAATGTTTAAATGGTAAAGGGGCCAGTTGAGGTGTCTGTGGATAACTTAAATGGGCCATTTATGTATTTCGTCTATTTTCAACAGTAATATTGATAACATCCAATTTCCTTCACAACAAAAATAAGCTACTCCACTAGTTGGCCGGCAGAAGCTCCCACATTTTACTTTGCTCAACACAATCATTCTTCTGCAATTCTAACATAACTACATAAACATAAAGAGGAGTCTTGTCATTTGTTATGAACACTGCTTGTTCTTGCTAATAAGTTGTTGCAGATGCCGAGCATGCTTCTTTCCGATCCTATGGTCCTCCATTACCTTTTCAGAGAAGGTGCCTACTTTGCATGTCTCACACCAGAACTTGTACTCTCTTTTCTGATGCTCCTTATTGTTTTGCTTTTCGTCGATTGTATTATTTGCATGCTTTTTCAAGTCATCTGCATTTGCAACATTGTCGCTTGAACCTGATGAGCTTTCCTTTGATTTCTGCCCTTGTCTCATGTCAATGCAAGATTCTACAAGTTGCATGGATTTAGGTTTCTTTGTTAAAAGACTAACGTTGGAGTTCTCTCCTCTTGAAGCAGCCTCCTTGCTTTTATGTTTCTTTCCTTCGAAGTGCATATTCAGTCCAGCTTCGCTTGTAGAACTTACCTGACAAAGTGCACAAGTCCACTCCTTGACATTTTTCTTTACAGCACTGATCGATGAAGGCTCGTTAGCCACCTCCGTTGTTGGTGTTATAGCTTTCCGTTTTGCTCCAGAGGATATGGTGTCAGGCTTAGCCTGCAACAACGCCAAAAGAAGCACTTATAAAAAATTATTTCCTAGGCTTGGCTGTTCGATTTTAATAGAGATGATCTACCGTGTAATGATACAAACAGGTTTTAAATGGATACAACATCAGCATCTAAAACTCAAGTTACAACATATAAATTCGATTATGGTCCTGTTAGCTTAAATAAGTTATGTCCAGAATGTGATATCCTCTGCATTCTGCAACATGTCAAGCTAAAATTCTGCAACATCTATGTATATAAAGCTAATGGTTGGTGTACTCAAACAAGGTGGCCTACTTCAGATGACCCACAGATGAAAATCAAAGCCCAAAAATAGATGCAGCTGTCAATTATAATCTGATTTTTCAGACAAACAGAAGACAAAAAATCAGGAATAACTAGTTGAAAGGCCCCTCGTCTGACATCCATATTGAAAGAAGATATTTCAACGTGTTAATCACTTAGATGAGCCTCAAACAATGTTGAACATTAAATAAGATATTTGGTAATTAGCACAAAAATTCTGAAGATTCGTTGAGATCACGTGGACAAATCCGGCCATGAGCTAATAGGACTCGATGAACATCCATCAACATTATGAGTAACGGGTAAGCACGATGGGAAGGAAGCAGTATATTATGGACTTACTTATAGAATAAATAAACCAGTACGAACCATATCTTTGCTTAATTCAGGTTCTAATGAGGGCTGCAATTGCGAAATCTCCCCCTTTGCACTCTGGTTCTTTGGAACAGGGACAAGCTTCAATGTTGAAATGCTTGGTTCCACAGCGCGGTGCTTAAAAGGTACAACATCTGAAATCTGTTCCATGTCTTGATGTCTAGCACCTGGTTCAGATTCAGAGACACTCATTCCCAACTTCTCCTCAGCCTGTTGTTTCAAAAATGGAAGATTTGGGGAAAAACTACTGAATGAAGTAAAGCTATCTCCTCTCAACATCGCTTCCATCATAAGCTCTCTTCTTACTTCTAACTCCAACACGCGCCTTCGAGCAACTTCTTCAGCAATAATTTCTTCCCTTATACGCTCCTCCATCTCTTTCCTCAATATTGCCTCACGGGCATTGCAAGTAGAATCTTGAAAATGATTGAAGGACGACGACTGACCAATATGAGGGGCCATGTAACCAACTATAAAAACAAAAAACCAAAAAATAAATAGAGAACGAGAATTTAAGCATCTTTCTACGGATACAACAACAACATACCCAGTGTATTCCCATAGTGTGGGGTAATATATATGCAGACGTTACCTACCCCTATCTTGTGGAGGTAGAGATGTTAGCTCTCTTCTTACTTCTAACTCCAACACGCGCCTTCGAGCAACCTCTTCTACAATAATCTCTTTCCTAATACGCTCCTTCTCTATCTCTTCCCTCAACATTGCCTCATGCGCATTGCTAGTAGAGTCTTGAAAATGATTGAATGACGACGGAGGACCAATATGAGGGGCCATGTAACCAACTATAAACAAAAAACAAAAAAATAAAGAGAGTGAAAATTTTGCGTCTTTCTAGGATAGAAACTGAAAATACAATAACAATATAACAAGTATGATCCTCAGGTCAGGTCTGAGAACGGTAGTGTATACGTAGACCTTACCTCATGTAGTGCAGATAGGGATGTTGTTTCTAATAGAAACCAGGCTCAAGGAAAGCGCAGATAGAAACTTAAAAAAAAGAGCATACCGATGCACTAAGCTTTCGCTATGGGCGGGTTTCGAGGAACACTATATTTCTACAAGAGGCTATTTCCGCGGCTCGAACCCCTTGCCACGTGGCAACAACTTTACCAGTTACGCCTATACTTCATTCGAGAACTAAAAATAATTACAAACCTGGGAATGGGATGGTTTGTTGTTCAGTGGAGGGAATGAGGCCTGAAATCTGATTTTGTGTAATACTCCTTGAAGTTGAAGGTGGTTGATCAGATTCAGGGGATGTATACTCCTTTAACACCATTGCTGTGCTTAGAATTTTTGAAAAACAATGTAGAAAAATAAAGGGGGAATAAATTGATTGACTAGAGAGGGAAAGTGAAGAGCGCGTAAGGCGCTGTTTGAGTTGCAAGTGTATTTTAAAACAGTTACAATTTAGACAAGGGCTTAAAAAGTGAGTTTTCAGTAATGTGATACTCGTTGCCAAACTCGCCGCTTCAGACAGACGCCTCCATCGGACTCCTCTCCGTTATATAGTTTCTCTTCACTTGTTGAGTTTAAATTTTTAAGTATTTATTAAAATAGTTTGAAAAACATTCCAACTATAATTAGGCCTTCGCATACCGAATTATTGTATAGAAACCGAAAATTCCATTTACCGATATTTAGTATAGTATTTGGTTTAAATTTTTAAAACTTTTGCTAGTTAAAAAAATAATACAATAATCAATATCATACCGAAATATATAGTACTCCGTCCTTTTCAATTTATGTGAACATATTTCCTTTTTAGTCTACGCAAAAAAGAATGACCACTTTCCTTATTTGGAAACAATATACCTTTATGCAATGATTTTTAGCCACACAAAATATATGTGCCTCATTTTACACCACAAGTTCAAAAGTCTTCTATTTTTTCTTAAACTCCGTTCCCAGTCAAATAGGTTCACACATACACACACACATACATATGTATATATTATTAATTATAATATACTAAGTTAAACAATACTTCTCTTTGTATTTATATTGAGCTTAGAACGTTTTTATTTTTGTATGTGTAAGTACCTTAGTATATAAGAATATTACAGTCTACGGCTCTATGCATTAAAAAACTAAAGTTAAAATTGAAAGGTGAAAAACCAAACCATATCAAGTTTAATTAGTTAAGAATTGGTATAATATTTTAGAAACTAAATATCAAACCAAAATATCTAAATATCGTACCGTATTGTACAAACCAACAAACACCCCTAATTTTATAAACTGAAACCGAAAGGAGAAAAGCCAAACCATATCAAGTTTAATTAGTTAAGAATTTGTATAACATTTTAAGAAACTAAATATCACACCAAAATATCTAAATATTATCGTACCGTACACCCGACTATAATTATGGAATAATTTTGGAAAGGTAATCTTTAATTTTGGTTAATATTTCGATATTTTTGACAAGATGCCTAGGTTCCCTGATTTTCTTCCAAAGCTCCCTTCTATTGTCAATATTCTCATGATCATACTTATGTAAATTCGTACTCATCTTGAGTTGTTAGCTTCTGTGAAGTTTTTCTTGATATATACTATATATTTTTTGAAATATTAGTTCAATCTAGACGATTTTGTATTACAATAATTGTTCTTGAAAATCTTGTTTGGATTTAATATATCACTTTAACAAGAGAAGACAATTGAGTTTATTACTTTAGATGCAATTTTTTCATCACATCAATTTTTTTTTCTTATTCAAGTTTCCTCTTATTACGAAGTGTTATGGTCTTTTCATTAAAGTTACATTGGGTTTTTATATTTTACATTTTTTATTTTTTATTTTTTTTAGCATTTTTTTATATTCAAGAAGGAGAGCTTTGGCGTAACTGGTAAAATTGTTGTCATGTGATCACGAGGTCACGGGTTCGAGTCTTGGAAACAACCTCTTGCAGAAATACAGAGTAAGACTGCATACAATAAACCCTTGTGCTCCGATCCTTTCCGAACCCCGCCATAACGGAGCTTAATTTTCTCTGACTCTCATTTTTTCATATTCAGAGTTCACATATAGGGAGAAAACTTCTAACAGTAGTAATGATGGTACTATCTCTGCAAAGGAGCTACATACATTCATACCTATGATTGACAAGAATAAGTCTACCATACCTATTGCTATTAAATTTTCCAAATTTAGAAAGTACAACACTCTGAGAAAATGATTTTGAAAGGATCAATGAAAACCAATCCAACCAGATGAGACTCAATGCCAAATACCAACCAAATAACAAAAATCCCCATTCAAATCTAACTAAAACAATAAATAGAACTAACATTGGAAATAAATGTTTATCTCAGTTTATCCAATTTAAAACCAAACATGTGTTTTATATTATATCTTGTAAATTCTATTTTTAGCACAATGAGCCAAATATCTACATATAAAAATATATCAACTAAGTAATCACTTCCCATTTAATCTCCGTATCATAATTCCGTCATTATAATTTCAGGATAACTTATTGTAACGACCCGGTAAGTCGTTCTGAGAGCTATAGCCCCGTTTCTCCCATTTCTGTTTCTTTATGTGTTGTTCATCTGTGTTGAGTTGTATCGAGTTGGTAGGTTTGGGTTCGGAGTAGTTTTGGAGTGACATGATCACTTAGTCTCTTAGTTAGAAAGCTAAGTTAGAAAAGTCAACAGGAAGTTGACTTATGAGTAATTGAATTCGGATTTGGAATTTTATGATTCGGTTAGCTTTGTTGGGTAATTTTAGACTTAGGAGTGTGTCCGGAATGTAATTTGGAGGTCCGAGGTAGAATTAGGCTTGAATTGGCGAAAGTTAGAAATTCGGCGATTTTGGTCGGCAACGGAAAATTAGGTATCGGGTCGGAATGGAATTCCGGAAGTTGGAGTAGGTTCGTAGTGTCATTTGTGACGTGTGTGCAAAATTTGAGGTCATTCGGACGTGGTTTGATAGGTTTCGGAGTCGTTGGTGAGTTTTGGAAGTTTAGAAGTTCTTAGGCTTGAATTCAAGGTTGATTTGGTATTTTGGTGTTGTTTTGGGTGTTCCGGAGGTTCGACAAAGTTCGGCTAGTGATATATGACTTGTTGGAATTATTGGTTGAGGTCCCGAGGGCCTCGAGTGAGTTTCGAATAGGTCTGGATTGTGTTTGTGCTCGTTTTTCTTATGTTTCGATGCCGTTTCTTCAAGCATAAATGATATCATATTGAACAAATGAGCTCCGATTTCTTTTTTTGATTGAAGCATTAGTTCCGTATCGTAATTACGGACCCGTAGCAAAAAGAATCGTCGAATTTGGACATCGTATGAGGTTTTTACGGTCATTTTACTAAGAATTAGGTTGCTAGATTTTTTAGATTAATTATGAAATTGACACTGACGGCGTATTTAAAAATCTGCACTATTTGCTAATATTGAAACCAACATATCTCATTCATTATAAGGTCAAATTGAGTGATTCAACAGCCTATCTTGACTAGAATTTCACAAGGAATCCATTGGAGGGATAAAAAGCGAGTTTCGGGATTGTTTGGAACGAGAAACGAGGCAGAATAGCTGGCAGAAAAATATATAAAACAAGGGTTTGTTCATTCGGTTATATTTTGAGTTGGGGAGCTCGGATTTGGGTGATTTTGGAGGCGATTTTCACCATATGGATTGGGGTAAGTGTTACCTACTCGATTTTGGTTATATCTCATGAATCCATCTTCGTTTTGGGATTTGATTGATGATTTCAAAGTGAAATTGAGGGAGTTAGGGTTTGAGTTTTGAAGAGTTTTGAGTGAGGATTTGAGGGACCAAACGGAGTACGATTTTGACAAATTTTATATGGTTAGACTCGGGAGAGGACAAGGATTATTATTAAGTCATTTTTGAATGGTTTCGAGACGTGGGCCCGGGGGGCGGATTTTGGCCGATTTCGGATTTTTGGCCTATTTAAGTAGTTTTTCTGTTGGAATTCGATTCTTTAGCCCATGTTGATAGTATTATTCTGATTTTGGTTAGACTCGGAGCTTTTGGAGACCGAGTTCAGAGACGAGTAGGATTTTACGCTGTTGAGGTAAGTAACAGTTTTAACTCTGGCCTTGAAGGTATAAACCCGGAGAATTTGATATCATGTGATTGTTTGGAGGTGATACCCACGCTAGGTGACGGGCGTGTGGGTGTATACCTCGAGGGATTGAGACTTGGTCCGTCCCGTGAGGCTTTGAGGCTTAATAACCATTATCTGTGTTTATGCATTTACTTGTCGGTGGACTTGTCTGCCTTCACGTTAGAGATCATGTTTAGGCTTCATTCATGCTCACATTATTTGTACTCAGTCATAGAAATTATTGTACATGTTTACCTCAGTCTCTGTTATTTTGTTGATATATTGTGATACCTGATGTGGGATGTGTCCCCTTATTAGTGGTGCATTGTGAGGCTGGAGAGGCACATGACTGAGTGAGGCCGAGGGCCTGGTTGTGAGGATATTAATACCATAGCGCGTGAGTTGCCCGCGTAGCACGTGAGTTGATCGTGCGGGTCCAGGTATTAATACCATAGCGCGTGAGTTGTCCGCGTAGCACGTGAGTTGACCGTGCGGATCCAGGTATTGATATGATGGCATGTGAGTTGTCCGTGCTTAGCGTTTGGGCTTTGGGAGCCCCTCCAGAGTCTGTACACACCCCAGTAAGCGCAGAGTGTTGAGTGTTTTGAGTGTGTTGAGTGTTGAGTGCGAGTGATGAGTGATGGAGTGACACTACTGTGAGGTTGTATTTATTTGTGTTGTTGCTGCATTTTTTTGTTAAATATCTTTGTGGCATTTACCGAGTTATGGAATTTACCTATTTATTGTGAAAATGAATAATTGGACTGTTTTGCTTAGCTCGTCACTACTGCTCAGTTCCTTAGTTATTTTTATTACTACTGAGTCGGTTGTACTCATACTACACCCTGCACTTTATGTGCAGATCCAGGTGAGTTAGAGCGCGGCAATTGTTGAGTTCAGGCCGGCTATCTTTAGAGATTGTAAGGTAGCTGCTAGCGTACGCAGGACCTTGTTACTCCTTTTGTCATTTCTTCTTTTAGACAGTTATATATCTTAGTTCATAGTTTTAGACGCTCATGACTTAGTGACACCCCGATGTTTGGGGCTATTCCGTATTTTTATATTAATTATATTTAGAGTTGATTTAGTTTATGAGAAATTTAAATGTTGGTATTATTTTATTAAATCCTTAAAATTAATTACTAGTAATATTTTGGGAAATAGGCTTGCCTTGTAACACGATAGGCGCCATCACGACCAT